TCTTATTTTCAACTACACATTCGCCCATAAAATAATCACACATATATTTCAAAAAAAATAAAAAATCTTACTTTTTAATCACACATTTTTCAAAAAATCATTATTCCATAATATATTTTACCCCAAAATTTGGATGCCTCCTAGAGTGACATCAAAACTTTGCCAAATTCTATTTGCAACATATCATTTTATTTTGAGGGGGAAGAATGAAATCAAACCGTTGAAAAGTAACTTTATTTAATTTTTTACTTTCAAACATTAAAATTATTACATGACATTCTCAAGAAAAAAAAAAATTAACGTATTATTGATCTATGACCTGATATGTTGTACGTTTGATAGTTTATTCTAAAGCCCATTGTTTCATTTTCTTGGGGTGGGATTACTTTGGCTCAATTCATTTTATACAACTGGATAAATATTGATGACTTCCCTTCCAATAATCATTTGTTTATTGAATATCCATACTGCTAAAGTCACGCTTTGTTATCTGAAGTCATATCACTAAAATCCAGATTCTTAAAAAAAATTAGTCTCTTCCATTTATAACTATTACTCATTATTATCCACGCACTTCGTGAAACACACTATTAGGCCCTGTTTGATTGTTGGAAAATTTCCATGGAAAATGGAAAATCATTTTCCATCTTTTGGCTATTTGATATCCTTTTTTTCCAAGGAATTCATTTTCTTGATTGTCTCGAGAAGCAGCAATTTTTCAAATTTTTTTGAAATTCGAATTCTCACCATTTTTTCCCAAGGAATTCATTTTCTTGGCTGTCTCAGAAAGCAGCAATTTTCCAGGAATATGGTGAGAATTCGAATTCTAGGCCACTATAGTGATTTTTTTGATTTTTTTTTTTTTAGCAATGGAAACAAATTTTAAAAATTATTGTAAAAAAATATTTTCCTTTAGTTGACAATTTTCATGTAAAACAAAGCCAAACGAACACCAACAAATAGATAATTTTCTTGAATTTTTTTTGTTGGCAATGGAAACAAATTTTATCCCTAATATCAGTAAATTTCATCTTTTTAATTGACAATTTTCATATAAAATAAAGCCAAATGAACACCAAAACATACTTTTATTTTAACATTTTCCACATTAAAAATTATATCAATCAAATGCAATAATTTACAATTCCCAAGAAAACAATTTCTAGACAATTCAATTTTCTAAAATTCGTTTTCTTTCCACTAAAATTTCATTTTTGCAATCAAATGGACCCTTATTTCTCTTTATAAATAGGGATGAATTTGGGGGAGATTGGGCTGGGCTGTAGTCCACCTCTCCCACTCAGGCCCATGAAGTTTTTTTAAGGATATTTTTTTTATTTTTAATAAAAAACTAGTTTTTATGTACAAATTTTTTTTTTTCGCGTATTAGCCCCATTTGAAGTTTTTTAGCCCAAACTTGGATCCAATTTTAGATATGTCCTTGTTTATAAACCATTTATAAATTTGTTAAACTGATTGTAATATTTTCAACCAACAATTATAGTATAGTACGAAGAATTTTTTAAAATACTTATGGATTCTAAATGCTTTTTAAGTGTCAACTTAATCTTTCAAGTTTCAACTTTTAAAATCCAATTTATATCTACATGCGTTGCAGAATGTTCGAAAGAGAGAACCTCAGGTTGTGTCACTTATAAAAGGAGAAACTGCTTCGTTGCTTCTCAACTTATAGTCATGGTACTAAGCTCTAGTTAGAGCCTCATTCTTGTTAAAAAAAATGCATTTTTTAATAATATATTGATGGAAAATATGTGGTTGAAAAATAAAAAAAGTTTTAAGTTTACGCGTAATATTATTTTATTGAAAAATGTGAGGTTGAAATAAAGTCAAATCACTGTTGAATATTGAATTTTGATGGAAAAAAATGAGCGTCAAACATGGGTTAAGTTGATCTCTAACTTTTAAAAAGGAGTAAATTGGTATTTGCCTTTCAGTATAGTTTCAGTGTCCGATTACCTTTGTAAAATAGTGGTATGACCCTTATGAAAGCTTACTTCAATTTCTTGGTACTAATTCAAAGTAAGTTTCATAATTAAGTTAGACGTGTGACAACTATACGTCAATTTAACAAAATATTTGATAGATTTGACCATTAAGAACTTATTGTACGACTAGAATGAAAGAGGATTCGAAATCAACTTATTAACACAATAATAGATGAACGGTAGCATAACTTTTTCATGATAAAAAAAATTTCTAAAATTCGAGAATTTTTTTTCCAAAGATTTTCTTTACATTGAGTTTCACTCCTCTCTCTCTCTCTCTCATCAAACCTAGTTAAGAAGCAAAATTGCCCCCTGGGGCATGACCTAGTGGTGCAAATGACAGGAGTGAGGTTATCTCACGCTTTACTGGCAGTCGCAGTGTGGGGGTTCGATTCCTGAGACATGGAATTAGACTCCTTGTAAGCACAGTGTACAGGCAGCTCTTGTTCTCTGACCTGTTGGGGTACATTCTGCAATTTACCTCCCTTACAAAACTTTAGGGATGGAGCGATGGGGCCCTCAAGATTGGAGTTCAACATTTAGTTAAGAAGCAAAATTTAGATATTAAAGGAGTCTAAACAATTGGTTGGACCCACATTATCAAGTTAATTAGCACTAATCACTATCATACTTAAAATAATGGATGACACTAACATTATAATAATTAGAATCGGCCTTGGAAGTGATTGGAACCACACTATCAATTTAATTAGCACTAAACTCGATCATACTTGACATGATGGACGTCATTAACATTATAATAATTAGGGCTCCTTCTACTTTTATTTTATTTTATTTTTTTCCAAAATAAGATTTTTTATAAAAAGATGTTAAGATACGTGGCACGAAAAGAAGGGTCATACTATACAAGAAGCTGTTTAAACACGCTTGTCTAGGTTTTTTTAATCATTTAAGTTCAATAATAATATTTTTGACCTATTTACTTAAAATAAATGGAAATTTGACGTTATCTATATATATATATATATATATATATTAAGAATAGAGTTTAGAGAGGACGACATCCCACCTTACATTAACATTACATCTCTGCATGTAAAACAAGAATCTCATTAGGGATTTGGTATGTCCTTTTAATAATTGTAATTATAGATTATAATTTACATCCTTAATTATTATTATTATCATCATTATTATTATTGTGTGTATAAATTAATGAAATGGAATACACTCTTAGAATCTATTAAAAAAATTTATACTTGTAGCATTTCTCATGTGCATTTTGGTAGGTCAGTTTGATGATTAGATTTGAAAGACAATCCATGCCTAATCTTAACCATATTTTTAAACAGGTTTTTTTAAAGATCCGTTTGATTGCAAAGATGGAATTGAATTGAATAAAAAATGAATTTCAGGGAATTGAATTGCCTAGAAATTGCTTTCCTAAGAATTGTAAATTATTGTGTTTGATTGAGATAATTTTTCATCTGAAAAATGTTGAAATAAAAGTGTTTTTGATCTACGTTTGACTTTGTTTTAAATAAAAATTGTCAATTAAAGGGATAAATTTTATTGGTATTGGTGATGAAATTTGTTTCCATTGCCAACACACCAAAAAATAAAAATTTCAAGAAAATCATCTATCTTTTGGTATTCATTTGACTTTATTTTACATGAAAATTGTCATTTAAAAGGAAATATTTTTTTACAATAATTCTTAAAATTTGTTTCCATTTCCAACAAAAAAAATAAAAAAAAAGTGCTACAGTAATCGAGAATTCCAATTCTCACCAAAATGGTGAGAATTGGAATTCAAGGAAAATATAGAAATTAACTTAGGTGGCATAAAAGGTGGAATACGAATTGTAAGAAAAATTTTGCCAATCAAACAACAAAAAATTGAAAAGATGAAATTTGATTTCCATCGAAGTGGGGTGCAATCAAAATGGATAAATCCATTTTGGTTGGACCCGCAATCAACACTAAAATTATCAAATTGCGCTAGTCACTATCACACAACATGATGAGGCACCTTTAGTAAATAGTACTCTAAATTAAACACAAAAATTGCAATTATTTATACCATCTTGCCAAAACCATGCACCTCGTAGATTAATCTAGTAACTATCCTCTTGGAACAAAATTGGAATATTATCTTATCTTGGATAGGATTGTTAAATTTGTTGAACGTAATTGGCTTCGAAAGCTTGGCATTTACATGGAAGGAATTTTTATTTTTTTTATTATTATTTTTTTCCAATTAGAAGGTTTAAATAGGTATACTTTTAAATTTCGAACAATAATCTAATGGATAAAAACTTATAATATTCTCATGAATTTTGGTAATTGGAATTATAGAATATTGAAATGGAATATACACTCTCAATTCCAGCAAAAACACTTAACTTTTTTTTCTTTTTTCTTTCTTTTTTTTATGTTTGATTATAAATTTCTAATTTCTTTTTTCTTTACATAATTGACTCTGAATTTGTAATAAAAATTAATTATTATTTATCTTTTTTACTTTTTGTATACTTTTTTTTGAAGAAAGACTAACATTTTTCGTTTTCTACGGAGAAAATGACTGTATCAACCCCTATATATAAAATAGACATTATCAGAAAATTTACCGATGATTTTGGGAAATCTCGATTCCTTCAAATTCGCCAAATTGAGCATGTTTGGCTAAGTTTACAAGTAGTTTTTTCAAGGTTGACAATCGATGCTTTTACTAATTGTTTAAACATTATGTTAAGTCCTTGATTGATATGGATTAAAATCTAAATTTCAATCTAAGTTAAGTCAACAATTAATTTTAATTACATATTTTATAAGATCCACAAATTTTTAATTACATCTTTCATTAATTTTTATCAAAATTTCGATTGATTATACATACACACATACACACACTTATTTTTCCTATTACAAATTGCAATTATTTTTATTTTATATTTTTATTGCCGTTTGGGGCTGGACTGAATGGATATTCATTGAACCTAAGCATTATCATTACAGCACATTCACAGATAAAAAAAAAAAAAAAAAAAAAAAAAACCCACGCACCCGTATAAATACTCCAAATTAAGAAATGAAATCGCTGGAGAAATTACAAAGCCCTAATTATAGTGAATAATGGAAGCTGATGTTTCTATTTCTCAGTGTTAAAAGCGCTGTAATAATAGTTGAAAGAGTTTTTCTATTTTTTGGGGGGGTTTCGTGGGCTTGTGAAGATCTTGGGAAGTTGAAACAGGATCGAGTAAATATGGTGAATTTCAGGGTAACTGTGTGGTGTTTTTGCTGTTTAATGGGTGCTTTCAAAGCGTTTGGTAACGTGGTTTTGATTGGGAATAATGTTACCTTGTCTTTTGCAGACATTGAAGCTAATTTCGGTGAGTTGAATCTTGGTTGTTTTTGTTTTTGTTTTGTTTTGTTTTTTTTATTTTTTATTTTAAGTACTCTGGGTAAGTATTTATTTTTTACTTTTTTTTTTTACTTATTTTATGCAAAATATTGATTATGAGTTATGGGAATAAAATTGGGAAATGGGATTGTTTAAATTGTTCGAGTTATTCGAGCTGCATCGTTTGTGTTCTCTTTCTTTCTTGGCTATGGTTGGTGAAAATATGGATTTTTATGCTATATTTGGATCGAAATCAAATTATGATTTTTCTCCCTATTTTGTGCTTCAATTCAGCTTGGAATTGTGGAATCTGAATTACACAGGTCAATTTACTGATTAAAATAATGTCTTCTCAGCTGAAATATGGGGAGGTAATTAGCTTTTTGCATCTTCTTAAGTACGCAGTTTAAAGAACAATATTTGGGATCAGGAAAGTAAATTTGGATTCTTTTACTTTTTCGTACAGATGTAATCTTCTATATAAATGGGAGATTATTATATCTGTTGCGGCTAGTTTCACCTGTTAGTAGGGTATAGTCAAGATATTCCATTTGATATTATACAGGTAATCCCATTTCTAGTTTGTTTTCCTGGCTCTATCTCGCCATGCTTCAGGAAGAGATTTTGTTTGTTGGAATCTCCATTAAACCCATTTCTAGTTTGTTTTCCTGGCCTCATATCGCCAAGCTTCAGGAAGAGATCCTGTTAGTAGGAATCTCCATTCGAGAAAGATCATTTACTATTTAGATAAAAATTTGAATTTGATTCTATTATGTGTATGTTTGTGGAAATGATTTCCACTTTCCAGCATCTATTGTGTTTACTTGCTCTGCGTTTACTGATATTACACCTGAATTTCAGCTCCATCGGTCAAAGGATCCGGGATATCTGGCACATTGCATGTGGCGGAACCTTTGGATGCATGCTCACCATTGACTAATAAAATCAATTCAGAAAAGAATGATACCAGGTCTCCATTTGTGTTGATAATTAGAGGGGGATGTAGCTTTGAGGATAAAGTCAGAAGTGCACAAGCTGCACAATTCAAAGCAGCCATTGTCTATGACAGTGAAAATGGTGATTTAGTTGCAAGTAATGACTTTTTCCTCCCTTTGTCTTTATATCTGCTATTTTGTGGCTTTAGTGTTTTGCCAATATAAATTTTAGGCATCACGTATTTCTGCAATATTAAAATATGTGATCCACAAGTTCAGAACATGTGAAGAATGTGATTCCTCTGTCCTGACATTAATTAAATTAATTACTTCTCTATTTTCTTTCCCTCATCGTGCGGTTTTTCTTCACAATATTGACAGATGATTGACCTCCTTTGTACATAATAGCTTGTAAGTCAATATGCAGTGACTATAGCTAACTGATCTATGAGTATAAGAGCATAGTAGTACAAGTATTGTGTTTTAGGTTCCTGAAATGTAAGCTCATAAGCGCCATCTTATGTTCTGGATTGCCTTGTATCTCTAACTACTACCCATCATCTCCAACTGATGCAATTCCAGCATCGTTTCCTAGGAAGCACCATATAAGCTTTCTCTCTATGAGCCAAAGTAAATGTTCTTTATGATTTGCAAGTTAAAATGATGGTTACTCAGTCTGAATAGTCTCGATTGTTAGCATTTTTGGTGTCAAAATTCTGTATTACTTTATGTGGGTGAATGTGTTGAGAGATAGAAATATGTAAAGACCAAATCCAAGATCATGACTTTTCAGATATTAAGGATGGAGAAGCAGTATAGGATCACAGAGAAGTTTCATGGTAAATCTGTACTTTAGCCTTGTCCATGTCAAGATTTCTTTGGTGCTCAAATGTATATCTGGAAAAGATTGAGAGTTGTGTCTCCTCCTGGTCTTCATGGAATTTTGCCCGTAAGCTAACATTTTCTCATTGACACATCAGATTTTATAAAAGTAGAAAAGTTAATTAAAGTGGAAAGTATAATGAAAAGACGGTGGGCCGCTTTGGTGTTTTTTGTGTGTTTGTGTGTCAATCCTAAATGCAAAAGAGGAAAGGAGAAAATTATTGTTGAAGGTGGCAGTAGGTTCCCTTATCCCTTCTTTCCATCTGCTTCTTGCTTAAAGAATGAAGGTATCTGTGAAAGTTGGTTGTTCTAGTTTTTGATGGCTAATGAAGCTTTAATCGTGTGACAATTCAGTGGCAGGAAATGCTGCTGGTATAAAAATACATGCTGTGTTTGTTTCCAAAGCTTCAGGTGAAAAACTGACACAATATGCTGGTGCTGCTGACGTGGAACTCTGGATAATCCCAAGCTTTGAAAATTCGGCATGGTCAATCATGGCTATATCTTTCATTTCGTTACTTGCAATGTCAGCAGTGTTAGCTACCTGTTTCTTTGTCCGGAGGCATCGCATTAGAAGAGAGCGGCCACAAGCTCCATGTGTAAGGGAATTCCATGGGATGAGCAGTCGTCTGGTGAAAGCCATGCCGAGCTTAATTTTCACATCTGTTCTGGAGGATAATTGTACTTCACAGACATGTGCTATATGTCTTGAAGACTATACCGTTGGAGAGAAGCTCAGAATTCTGCCATGCCGCCACAGTATATCTTCTCTTACATTTCAGTTACTTATTTTGCCAAGCATGAATTTCAGAGTTACTTAGCTTCCCCC